TTATGTCTGCAGCGGCCATGTTCTTCATCGACCAGACTTACGCGGCTACTGCAGTCTGCTTGCTCATCTTTCTCTTTTCCCTGATTCACTATCTCAGTCCACCGAAGCGATGGGGTGACGTCTCCCAAAATCTCATCTACCACCAAGTGAGGAAGTACTTGCTGCGGCTACGGCCCGAGCATATCAAGTTTTGGAGGCCCCAAATCATTCTGCTCATCAACAATCCTAGGAGCCAAACTCGACTGATTCAATTCTGCAACTCCGTAAAGAAAGGCGGTCTCTATATCCTCGGCCACGTTATTGTTACGGACGATTTCAACAGCGGCGTTCACGAAGCCAGGCTTCAACAGGCAGCATGGACAAAGTACATCTCGGAGTTCTCCCGTATCAAGGCCTTCGTGCAGCTTACAATGTCTCCGACCATTACCTGGGGTATCCGAAACTTGATTCTGTCGGCTGGGCTAGGGGGCATGCGACCAAATATTGCCGTCATGGGATTTTACAACATGGATGAGCTAAGAGATTCTCGACCTTCTTTCCAAGTCCCGAAAGCTCCAAGCTCGTCGAATATGAACACCCGCCCTCAGGCCAAAGCCAAAGAGAGGCCTCCACGCAGGAGAAGGGGCGACACATCAGCGCGTCTGATGGAAGGCATACTGCCTACAGATGTGATGAAGACAGAGGGCATGATGAGTGTGACAAGTTACATGACTATGTTGGAGGATCTCGCTCTGAGATACAAACTCAACGTCGCAATTGGTAAAGGCTTTGAAAATCTGGAAACGCCGCGCAAGGACAAAGCCAATGTCAAGAAGCATCTCGATCTCTGGCCGATACAAATGTCGGCAGAAGTTCTGTCAGATGGGAAAAGTGTCTTGACAACCAACTTCGACACATGTGAGCAGAATCATTGTTTCAATCCGAATTTCGCTAACTCATTTACAGATACCTTGATCCTTCAACTAGGCTATATCCTCTACAGCGTTCCGACATGGCATAAAGTCTACAACATTCGCGTCATGGTGTTCGTGGAGTACGAAAGTGAAGTGGAAGAAGAACGGGCGCGAGTCAAGGCTTTGCTAGACAAGCTGAGGATCGAGGCCGAGGTCATTGTGTTTTGGCTAGCTTCCGGACAGCTCAATACGTATGAGCTCATTATCAACGGCCAAAGCAACGACCTCGAATCTCAGATTATGGTTCACGATATACTAAAGGATGAAGAGTGGTGGGACGACCTGCAGAGGTTTCGAGGCCGTGAGCCAAACCTGAACTCAACCGAAGAGCTCACGTCTTTCGCGAATATTATCGAGTCCACGGCAGGGCGGCCTGGCGTGTTCAATCCGCATGTATCACTGGACGATATTGAAAGTGGACGGCGACCAAGTCTGGTGCACTTTGGGGAACTGCCCAAGAAGCCGACGGTATCGAGGTTGTCCCGCCTTGGCGTCAGTGTTGGAATTCACACGTCTCACTTGGGAGATGAGGTCTTTGAGGACGCCTCTGGCTCCGACGGTGAGATTAGTGATCAGGAGCAACAGCCATCTTGCCTTGACTCCGATTCTGAATTTGAACCTGGTAGCAGTGACTACAGCGAGGACGAGATGCCAGAGGTCGACACTCCTCGGCGGCCGTTGTTACTTGGGCGAGGACGAGGGCGAAGCCAGAGCGACGACTTACTCACAAGTCCGTCGAAACAGAAAAGGAGCAAATCGAATAAGAGCGCTGCACCGGCAGCATCATACGGCACGATGGTGTCACAAGCTCGTTCTGAAGGTCAGGCGGGCCCAAGCCACGTGGGAAGAGTTGAAAACGTGTCAGCGCCTCCAACCCCGCTGGAACGACCTGCGCTTGATCGAAACATATCTGCTCGTTCCATGGGCGGATTCCGGTCGGCGGGCATCAGTACTTACGATGCGACATCAGGAAGTGTATCTGGGAAAGCAACCCCGGCAACAAGGCCAACGCTCTCTCGACAATCATCAGCAGTGCGGTTCTCAAGTCGTCCAATGCCGGAGACCAGGACCGATGTGGAGGGTGTGTCTGGTCCGACAATCATGTTTGCAGACACCACCGAGGAAGAGACGCCGCGGGCGGAACAACCCGCATTCTCAAGACAGTCCTCTGCAGGACGGTTCTCCAGTCGGCCAGTGCCCGAGATGACGGTGACGGCGGCTGAAGAGTTCGAGCCGAATAGTACGTTTGCGGAACCCTCTTGCAGATCACGCAAAGCTTCGGTCGCGTCTACCGCAGATCTAGGCGACGTCCACATGAACATGGCGGAGCTTGTGGGACGCTATAGATTAGACTCGAGACCCGAGGCAGACGGGCCCGGCTCGCCCTATTCGACACAAGGCATCTCGCTCTCGTTCAACGATTTGCCATCGCGAGCGCAGCATGTCATCCTCAATGAGCTGATGCGGCAAAACAGCAAAGATACAGCCGTTATGTTCACCACGTTGCCCGTGCCCACGGAGGGGACTTGCCAGGATGAGCTGGCGAGTGTGCAGTATCTATCGGACGTTGAAGTCCTCTGCCACGCGCTCCCTCCCGTCATGTTGGTCCTGAGTAATAATATGACTGTCACGGTTGGGCTATAGTCTGAACTCGTGGTGGGGCAGTGTCTCAAATCCTACGAGGGAGAACATCCATGATAAGGTCAAACCACGCGGGGGTTTATTCATACTTTGGCGTTTATTTTTTCTCAGGCGTGTCGGCTTATGTCGGGGATCATCACCCGGGACAAAGGAATGTGGTGGTAAACTCTTTTGGGGCCTGCCACATTCCTCAGTGTCTTTGGCTGAAATGAGAAGCTATTCAACTAAGCATTCTTTGTCTGCCAGCGACCGGACCACCATGATGGGCTTGCGTCTGCAGCCTTTACAAAGAGTTTCCCTCGACGGTGCATGAGCAGCTTGAACTCTCGCCATCCAGGTTTTTCTTCCCCTAACTTGGATGCTTGTCAAGAAGAGTGGTTTTCATGGAATCCTCTTCTGGAGCAATGGACATTAAACACCCGGCCCCGCCGGCATTGCCTTCCTCATGGACAATCCCGCAAACAGCCAACATGAATGATCATGGTAGGAAATCGACTTGGACCACGCAATTGTCGCCGTACCTGAAAGGCCTCAAGATCAAGAACCTCATGACGTCTCCTAAATCACCCAAGTCACCGAAATCCCCAAAGTCGCCGAGGTTTCCACTTTCACCCAAATCGCCGAGATTCCCTCTATCACCCAAATCACCCAGAACGCTACCGCCGAAGCTTCTCGACGAGGACTCGTCATTTCGAATTATACACACGCCTGACAGGCCGGAGCGACCGATATCAAGACGGGCCATTCCGAATGACGAGCAGTGCATGGAATTCCTTATGTCTCTGCAGAGGCAAGAGGAACACAAGAGGGGAGGCGTCAAGACGGGCCTCAAGATGTGGCCGTACCCGGACGAGCAGGAGGCCGAGGACCGCAGGTATCTGCGGAGCGTGAGGGTCGAAAGTGTGCACTTGGAGGAAGCTCGTCTCGCGAGGACAAATTCCTCCGGCCCGGCCAAGGTTGTGGAAGTGGGCAGAAGCTCGACCAAGTCGACCATGGCATCACGACGATCATACCACACCAGCACACCCAGTGTTAGCGACGCAGGGGACGTCGAAGAAAAGCCCCGATGCGGTCTTACAGTGGCCGTCGGTGTTGCCCCCCTCTCTCCACCGCCGACTCTGTCCCGCAGTCAATCAAGGCTAAGCTTTCACACGCCAAAAGCCAATACATCTCGCTGGTCCGATGACAGCATCGAGTCCCTCTTCTCGTCGAGAGACATGGACTCGCCATGCCCTCAGCGAGTTACTGTCCGCTCATCCTCCGAGGCGCTGTCACCCACTGTCGTCGGGGACGAGTCTGTTGGCTCATACTCGCCTCCCCTTCTGACGCCAGTGAAAGACCGGCCTGCCACACCGTTCACGGACCCTCGCCTGCGGGCGACATCCGAACCGATGACGCCTCCGCCTTCAGATCACATTGTTCACCAGATGAACATTAGCCCTGAGCCGGTGCCGCGGAAGTACTCATGGCGCTCTTCCAAAGATACGATACTCAATACAGGGGCCCCGATATCAAGATTCCAGTCGTGGCTACCAGAAGCGCGGCCGGAAGAGGATTTCGAGGGGGGACAGCAGCAACAACAGCAATCTGAGCCGGAGGTCTACGGCGAGTGGGCGGATTACTACTTTGAAGACGGCAATTTCTGGGATGACTATTCGGATGGCGATGAGGAAGGAGATGAGACTAAGGTAGAGGAAGAGGAAGATATCGACGCCGTCAAGAAGGAGGAGCAAGAAGTCGGCGACGAAGAAGACGAAAAGGAGGAAGAGAACGAGGGCCAAAAAGACCGGCTTCGGGTCGACGATGAGGAGGTTTATCCGCGTTACGAGAGTTTTATCAAGGATTACAAGAACAACGTCATGAATATCACGGTTACGGAGGTGTGAAGGTTCTTCTTCGACGTTACTTATTTCGCCGATTCGGATTTGGGGAGTTTTACGGATGGGATGATATCTCAATCACCTTTCAGGGGTTTGAGACATTGTAACAGTATTGTACGATCTTGAGATTTAGTCGCGATTACCCACTCGTTTTTTCGGAACAAAAAGAGAGCCTTTATGATTTGTTACCTTTTGGGTCGCCCTGATGCTTGAATGTCATCGACGTCCCTATAATATTCATGTCACATGATTACACTCAACTCCCTTGGACTAACAACTTAGATGAAAATTGACTGAACCGCAATAGGCTAAGTACAGGAACTCCATACATCATGACGGAGACTGAGAGTCGAAATACCGCAACTAACAACAGCATCTTGGGATGCCTCCATCCCTTGACTTCGGATACTACAAGGCGATGTCTCTAGCCCCTAAGCGATACCGACAACCTCCCAGCTCGCTCGGTCGAGGGGATCCCCCATTTCCGAATTCCCATTATGACAAAAAAAGATCGATGTTTTCACTTCTAATATTCGGTCTTGGGGAGAACAGGCTTATCGGGATCAACCCAGTCCGAAGGGCCCTCGATACCGGGCCTGCAGGCCTGGTGAGCCCTTTCCCACCACTGCTGGGTCCAGATGCACGGGGGGGGCGGAAGGCCGCCCCTGCGGGCAGCGTCGTTGCAAATCCTCCAGCGGACGAGGGCCTCTCTGCACATTTTGCGCTCCGGTTGGTTGCAGCACCTTCTGCGGAACCAGGTGTAGTAGGAGCGGTTTGCGTCGGCATGGTCGACGATGCAGAGGAGGGCTGCGAGGAGGAGGACGAAGTGGTGGAGTCTGATGTGCATTTTGTCGGAGAGGGTTGGGTTGTGAGTTGGGTTTTTGGACGGTTTGTTTTGTCTGAGAGTAGAGTGATGTTTGTTTCGAGCTGAGATATTGTGTAATCTGATCTGGCGATGTGTGATTTTGTGACTTGATAGCAAGAGTTTGATGGAGTAATTTTTTGGATAGAAGGAGGAAGATAGGATGGATCGTAGGAAACTAGGTGATTTCCTGAAGTATGCCGACAGAAGGAGGAAAGCGGAAGCTAGGTCTGGTTCGTAGGCCAAGATAGCCATTAGTGAACCCTGAGGATAAGATTCTACAACCTTGAAGAAACCGATAGAGAGTGTGAGTGTGAGGCCATCCAGGAGTCCCGCGTGACTGCAAAGTTGAGGACCTCCATGGTTGAGAGACGTGTTAGTCCAAATTAGGCACGGGGGAGAATCGGTTTCTGTTCACTCCGACCAGTGATACGCAGCATTCCCATACAGGATTATAAACCTGAAATTCGAAACTCTGGATAAACACGATCAGAAAGACCATTGTTTCTTCCACTATCCAGGTCTCCAATACACCGACGATGGCTTCAATAAGCTCGACCTCCCGCGGTGTATGCGGCTCGGTGTGGCCCAAGCTCCCAAGCTCCCCCAAAACTTTCACCTCACACCTGGTTTACCCTTTTGTCTTCCTCACACAAACTTCATCTCATCCACAAATTCCCTCACGCCATCTAGTCATCCTTTCCCCTCATGACGCGCAATGCAGTGAGTCAGCGGCCGGAGAGAAGAACCACACAGAAAGTAAGTGTGCACGCACCGCGGTAGATGCCTCGCCTACCGCCCTGCCTCTTCCGCCGCGCCCACGCCATCTCCCCCTATGCCGCCGTCCTTTTGCCGGCCTGCCGCGATGTACCCTCCGCGGTGACCGAACTCCGCTGGATCAGGTCGCACGTCGCGAGCAGCGGTAGGCAGTCGCCATCAAAGGCGCTTCTGCCCAGCCAAGATGAGCAAGAAGCCCGCGTCGCACGCCTCTGCGCAAAACGCGGCCGCGGCGTACCGCTGCAGTACGTCCTCGGCTCCCAGCCCTTCGGTGCACTCGACATCAAGTGCCGGCCCGGCGTGCTCGCCCCGCGCGCCGAGACGGAGGCATACGCTATGCACCTGGCCGACATGATCTCGCTTGGACAGCTGCCGGGTTTCGAGAGCAGAGAGCTGCGGGTCGTGGACTTTTGTACGGGCACTGGGTGTATCGCGCTCGCGCTGTACGAGCGTCTTACACGATGGGCCAAGAAGCTCAGCGTCACGGGCGTCGATGTCTCGTCCATCGCCGTCAACCTCTCGCGAGAAAACTTGCGGCGCAACGTGGCTACGAACTCACTAATACCGCCATCTCTCGACCTGGAGGTGACTTTCCGAGAAGCAGACGTCTTTCAGGAGGCTGATATGCAGTCGCTTCAACGGTGCGATGTGCTGGTATCAAACCCGCCGTACATATCACGCAAGGTTTGGACCTATGGCCACGGCCAGATGGGCTACTCTGTGCGAAAGTACGAGCCGAAGCTCGCGCTCGTGCCGGGGGAGACGGTGCCCATGTACGATGGGTGTGATCATGCCGACGTCTTTTACGCCAGAATGCTCGACATTGGAAGCTGGCTGCGCACGCGAGTCTTACTATTCGAGGTGGGAGATGAGGAACAGGCTTTCAGGGTCGTGAAACTCGTCAGACGCAATGACTTTACGAGACATGCCTTGTGCGAGCTCTGGAGGGATTGGCCAGACTTGTCGCCCGAAGAGGATGAAGTGAGTTCATTCGATGTCGATGGGGAGATGATTGCTGTCAAGGGCAGCGGGAATGTTCGATCCGTCCTGGTTCGCCCATGAGACAGAGTTTCAAAAACCTTGGATGGATATACACGCGTTTATAATAACATCCCACACTAGAACATGTCAGGCGCTTCCCATATTGCAAAAGGACAAATAATACGTATAGAGTGGTCAATAACATCATTTCCGACTTCATAAGTCGATGATTTATGGCAAAAGCAAAAGAGTATTGCCCAGAGGCGGATTCGAACCGCCGTCAACACGGATCGCTGTATAGAAGAACCACAACGTATCATCCTAACCAACTAGACGATCTGGGCCAGTGGTCATTGATGGAAGAACAGGTCCGGCGACGAGCTAAGGATCGCGCAGCGATCGAGGGTGGGGTTTCTGCCGGTTTAGCGCTAGAGATCCCCTGTTTTCTAGCGGTCGCTCAGCGGGCCCAAGGCCTGTAACCGCTGGAACTCTCCTCGGGGCGATCTTACATGCGTGCCTTAGCTGGCTCACTCCCGTCTTTGTGGTTCACAACTGACAGCTTTATTGAAAGAAGACCAGGCACCTGAACCTGTGTCATGAAACAAGGGAAGCAACGGCGATGAAGTCATTTCCCACGAGGAATCAGTGGTGTTTCCATTCTGATTACACAGAGACATCGTGTCTCTGCTGCCCACGGTACAGCTGGACCCTGTGCGCCTCAAGTGATTGAGATCAGACAACCGGGGTCCAGATGGCGTAAAGAAACATTCCAGCCATGAGCTTGATCATCAACGGTCGGTTGCGCGTGTGCTGCCGTCAGCATCCTTTGGTCCCAACGATCCGGTTTGTTCCTGAATTTTTGGGTTGCGCGTTAAAGCTGAAGAGTTAAATGAAAAGGGTCTTCCCTTGCAAGCCACACAAGAGTACTGCGCGTCACCAGGCGACACACGCGCCATGCCCTGGGCTTTTGGATTGAGGCCAGAACGGCAGCGGGAAAGGGTTTAGATCCGATGAGTGGAATGCTGGAGACGTTGATCAGCTCCTGTCATGATTGACGGCGTCAGAGATTCCTTACGGCTTGGATTGATGGGGGACAATGAATGCGCGGGAGAACTGCAGCCTGCAGAGTGAACCTCTTCCTGGATAGTCGGATTAGTCCTTAAACCCAACTTCACGTGAATGCTGTATCAACGTGAGTTTCTCGTGACAATCCGATGCATGGGCGTTTGCTTTCGTGGGCCAGGAGTCTCTTCGACTATGGAGACGAATCAAGGTTGAGTGCCATGATCAAGATTTCGGCTATCTCATCGTGCCGAATCAGTGGAGGTCAGGTGTGCTGTATCCTATCCGGCATCAGCTTCGGGCGGGGTTTGGATCAACCTATTTCTCCGTCCGCACTCACACCTGTGAATCAAGGTTTCCCAAGAAATGGCATCCGGAAGGCGCGTGATCAATCCGTCCTCGCGAGCCTTGGCAAACCTGCAGTCCGGTGGTTTTATTGACTTGGAAAATGAAGCCAGCAAACTCCCGCAGTACGACCCGGCTACGTGCCCAGATGGGGTCATTGACCTCTCCGGCGCCATCAATGGTCTCATGGATGATGTGCTGGCGGAAGAGATGAACCAATTTTCCAAGAATTATGATTTTGTGAAAGGCATGAGATGCTCATATTCTGGTTGAGGATTTGAACTGACATGATCTTACAGCAACTCGATACGGTGATGTTATGGGACCGAAAGGTGAGTATCAAGTATATTCCATGGCAATGATACTGTTTACTAACAAACTATTTGATAGAGCTAGCCAAGGCAATGAGTGGCTTTATAAATCGCTATTTTGGTCCTGCGCGCTCAATCACATCCGATGATATACTGGTGACCAACGGCGTGACCTCACTCATCGACATGATGGCATTCGGAATGTGCGATCCAGGCGAGGGTATTGTGGTCATCACTCCAACTTACATGATGTTTCCCCACGATCTGTATGCCAAGGCAGGCGTCAGTCTCATCAATGTCAACCCCGAGCCCATTGAGAGCCAGTTTGACGAGCAATATGCCCCTCTGCTCATCGAAGCAATGTCTAGAGCATACGCCGTAGCTCTGGAGGACGGTATTATCCCCAAGGCCCTCCTCCTCTGCAACCCGAGCAATCCCTGCGGCAGGACCTACCCACGCACTACCCTTGTCGAGATTGCGAGATTTTGCGGGCAGAGGAACATGCACCTCCTATCAGACGAGATCTACGCCATGTCAACCTTCACCGGAACGACAGACACACATGGACAGGCGATTCCCCCATTCACATCCGTGCTAAGCATACGGGATGATCCGCCGCGCGGGGTGCTCGCTGAGAACATCCACTGCATGTACGGCGCAAGCAAAGACTTTGGCTGCGGCGGTCTGCGTCTCGGGTTCCTCGTAACGCGGAACGAGCTACTATGGCGTTGTCTGAGGAGGTTAGTGCTGTTTACATGGGTCTCAAGTTTCTCGGCTGCGTTCTTCACGCACTTCTTGCTTGATGGGGAAGCCGTCGGGAGATACCTGAAAACCTACCGGGAACGACTCGAGGCGCAGTATGGGGTGACTGCGCAGCTTTTGAAGGAGAACGGGATTCCTTTTGTCCCGGCCAACAGTGGGGTCTTCATCTTCATCAAGCTGACGAGTTGGTTGGGTCACGGCCAGGAGTCGGCTGAACTCGACGGAAGCCGCGAGATGATACTTTGTCGATATCTTTTGCATGAAGCAGGTGTCTTTCTCAGTCCTGGAGAGGTAGGTCATTCTGCGAGGCTCAACTATAATTTCAATCAGATTGACTCACACCCGCATAGCTCTCCCTATCGACCGACCCGGGCTGCTTCAGATTGGTCTACACCGACAAATGGGATTATATGCCCATAGCTATTCAACGGCTAGCCACGGCACTGAAAGAGCTCAAGCAGCGCCCTACATCGCAGTCTTCTTCGTCCTCAATGAATGGCCAAAACATCAAGGGCACGATGGACGCGGGAGAGGATTTGACGAGAGTATCACGGCGGACATCGATTGCGCGCTTCTTGCTTTGTCGTAGGGCGTGACAGTGCAAAAAACATCTCTCTTGGAATGAAAACGAGCCAACGACGACAATGGGAAGACAAAAAGCACATCATATCTGCCTCATGGCCGTGAAATGCAAAACAATTGACCAGCCTGGGGGTCGAACCCAGAATCTCCTGATAACATACTAAGTCGTAGTCAGACGCCTTGCCATTGGGCCAACCGGCCGTTGTTAAAGGTCCAGGGCCAGATGTTGTACTTGGATCCTGAGAGTCTGGCAGCCGGCGCAAAAACCGAGTTCAGGACCAGCCGTGGACCACAAGGCCTTGATTTCAATGGATTATACTGTTCTGTGATACTGTTAGTCTTCGCCAGCATTTCTGATCATGTCAGTGACAAGACTTTGAGTGTTTGCGACGTGAGAATCACTTGAAGCTGTCTCTGTGGATACCGAATATGCACTAAAGCGATCCACTCAGACAGGCACTTATTCTCTGGCACTGCGGGATCATCAACCTCATCCATCGCAAGAGAGGACAAACATGGACGCATCGTAATTGAAAACTCTTTTTTTCGTCGAGAAATGAACAATTGCAGTCTTCTGGTCAGACACACTCGGTGATGGGCACATTGCCGATCTTTCAAGATGTCGTTTCCTGACAGACCGGTCGCTCACTTGCTGGGCTCAAATGGTGAGTTGCGTCGCTCGATTGTGAGACTGAAAGGCCAAGAAAAGACCCGAGTCGACTTCCTCGAGAAATTGCAGCAGCCCCAAGCTGACTTCAACTAGGACCCGTTCACGCTGTCTCATATTCAGCATCGCCAGGAACATACATCCTCACCGGCTCAGCAGACCGCAACATCAGACTCTACAACCCGGCATCTCACAACCAGCCCCAGCGCTACGGCTCCGCCATTAACAGCAACAAGACGCCAGGAACCACCAAGCCCGTCGTGCCAGAAGGCCGCCTCATTCAGACCTACACCGCACACGGCTACGAGGTTCTCGACCTTGCAGTCTCCTCCGACAACGAGCGCTTCGCCTCCGTCGGCGGCGACCGCGCCGCCTTCCTCTGGGACGTCGCCACGGCCAAGACGATCCGCCGCTTCGGCGGCAACGCGCACGGTCACACGGCGCGCGTCAACTGTGTCTCGTTTGCCGGCGACGTGGACTCGCTCGTCATCTCTGGGGGCTTCGACACGAGCGTGCGCGTGTGGGACGCCAAGTCCAACTCGGCAAAGCCCATTCAGGTCTTGGACGAGGCCAAGGACGCCATCACAGCGCTCGCGGTGAGGGACGCGGAAGTCATCGCGGGCAGCGTCGACGGGAGGGTGAGGAGTTACGATGTCCGGATGGGACGGTGCGTGACGGATGTCATCGGGGCGAGCGTGACGAGTCTCAAGCTCACGCGGGACGGCAAGGCTATGTTGGTCGGGTCGTTGGATAGCAAGATCAGGCTGATGGACCGGGAGAGCGGGACGTGTCTGAAGACGTATGCCGAAGACGGATGGAGAAATGAGGAGCTGCGCGTGCAGGCCGTGTTCGGCAGCAAGGAAGAATATGTCATTGCAGGCGATGAGCTTACAGCCGGCACGGGACCCACGGGTTTGAACGGTGACGGCAAGATATGGGCGTGGGACCTCTTGACAGGCAAGCTAGTCGCAACGGTCCGGGTGCCATGCCCAGAAGGCTTCGAACCCAAGAAGAGAATGCTGGGCAAAGATGGCAAGGAGAAGGAGAGGAGCAACGTCATCAGCTGCATGGCCTGGAGGGGCGATGGATGGGGAGATCAGTTCTGCGTCGGCGGCACATCAGGGATAGCTACTGTCTTTGGTTCACTCTAGAAGCCATTTATGATGCATCGCTATGATAAAATCACAACAGTGATGAGGTATCGTCATTCCGGACGTTCACGTATCTAACAAAATCTTCCAAATCATACAGAGTCATGTCCGTCTCTGACCCCGTGGTACTCTACACACGCGCGTGGATGTTCCGCAGACGCCCAACACCAATGTACCCAGATGCTTCCCTGGAAATCCCCAATCGGTGCCAACCAAAAATTACATAGAACAGCATTCGTGCTTTGAAACCACTTCGGTTGATTAGTCCATGCCGACGTACTTGAACCAGTTCGGGCGGCAGTCGTCCTTGTGCAGCCAGGCCTCACCATCAGTGAAGCGGCCTGTCACACAGCCCTTGCACTTGTTCGAGTTGGGGCAGTTGAAGAAGGGAATGTGCTGGTATCCAATGTCGCGGAACCTGGTGCATGTTAGTTAACTATTCTCTTGTATGGAGCTTTGTGAGGCTTGGCAAAACGTACCAGTGAATCTTGGACTTGTCCTCAAAAAGACCCAAAGCAATACTGTGAACAGGAGCATCGCCCCATCTTTCGTAGAAGAAACCTCCAGCGCGATCCAGATGTTGGAAGTAGTCCTCATACGCTTGACTCCTCCAGAAGTCAATGTCGGCAATCTCAAAGTTGCTCCAGAAGTGGCAGGTAGAGTAGCCGTTCGCATCAACGTTGTTCTCGGGACGACCAGCCTTATCGGTGAGCCAGTCCATGGCGTTGTTCTCGTGGAGGTATTCGGGGTGCTGCGCGAGGAACTTTCTGGTCTCGGGCCACAACGTCGGGATGGACTTGGGCGCATCGTACAGGTTGACAGTGAAACCATATGTCTTGTTGTTGTCCTGCATGTAGCGGAAGACATCGTAGTCAACGTCGCAAAAGAAGTGGACCTTGGGCTCGACACGCCAGTAGTACTTGGTGTGCTGCAAGGCAGGGTGCCTGTAAAACATGCCACTGTTCCAGCGGCACATGGAGTGGTACGAAACCTTATCGGCGTATTGAATGTCGTTTTCCTTGAGGATCTTGACGGATTCTTCGTACAGGTCTTTGTTGATCCACGAGGGCATCTCCCAGTGCTCTTTGGGGATGAGTTCTAACAAATTTGATTAGCACAAGGGTTGCGCATGGAAATGTCGCAAAAGCTTACCGTATCTGCACTCAGCCTTGGTGGCTGCCTGAGTCCTTCTCTTGAATTCGTCGCTGAAGGGGACCTCGTTGAAGAATGTCCAAGGGTAGTTGAACTTATGGTTCCAGGTTCTCTCGAGATCGACCATTGACTGAATCATTCCATCCAACTCCTCGTTCCTGACCAGCGCCAACAGGGTAGCATTAATGCGAGCGGAGTCTTCGATGCCGGGGGCATATTTGTCGGAGACATATGTCAGAACACCTTGAGGTTCACCGGTAGCTGTGCAGAGACATCATCGTCAGCGATCTGTGCGATGACTTTGTAGCAATTGCAGGCGCAACTTACGATCGAGGTTGGGGTCTCGTCCATTTTCGTAGCGCACTGGCTTCTGGCTTATCGGCCTTTCGGGGCCAAAGATCTGATAAAGGAAGAAGCACCAAAGCATCACGGCAGCTAACGCCAGAGCTCGAACTGGGCGGGCGACCGCCATTTTGGCAGATGGATTGGAAGCAAGCTAGCAATCGTGGAGAGGATGTGGGAAGGCGGAGGTATCTCGACAAGTCGAGCCGTCGAGCGATGTCAGGTTCGACGTTTGCGCAAATAGTCAACGGCTAGCGGAAAAGCCAGGTCGTCGAAGTCGATCGAGTAGTGGGAGAATTCTCGGTCGCGGCTCGTGCCGTCGGTTTTTGAGGGCCGTTCGGTGGTGTGGAAGGGAGATTTGTTGACCACTAGGCCAGATTGAAGAGTGACGCGTAAAAAATCGGAAAAGGGGGCGTCGATGGCAGTTGTCCCAGGTCGTTGGATGCTTGAGGCTGATGTCACCCCGTGAAATTTGCCAATTAGCGTCTTGCATTGGGAGAACCAAGGACCTATGGGCGCTTTGTCCAGCTGTCGAATCCCTGTAATCAGCGATAAGGGAGGATCTATACCCCCGCGCGCCCCTCTATTCGGCCGGCATCCTACCACCCACCACCTACGCTCCATACGCACCAGATGGCTGTCGCGTGTACTTGCGACAAGCACTTTCTATAACGCGTCTCTTGACGATGTCGGCAGATTAGCTCAATGCCGACACATCGCCCCCCGGCTCTCATGACCTGAGCTTGACATCCTCCGCCAGCAATCTGGCTACTTCCGACGACAGACAATGGCATTCGCTGCAAAGCTCGGTGCCTTGACCGACGAGCTGGTCGAGGTCATCACATCAACACCGGACAAGGTGGGAGACAGTTCATCCCATCTTGCATGGGCATACACAATGCAATGCAGCTCGGCCCGTCGCTAACACCAACGGCAGCACATCAGTCAAGAGCGCTTCAATCTATTGCGCGAATCCTCGCATCGCAGTCTCAAGCATCACAACTTCCTGCGCACCAATCAATTCGACGTTGACAAGCAGCTCGTCGGCTTGGAGGAGCGATTCAGGGTCCACCATCGTGAAGGCTTGGCAGATGCCTTCAAGGAGCGGCTCGATGCGTTATCACAATTCCGAACGAAGTGGCACCCCGACATCCTTCACTTCCTCCTCGAGCTTGCCGATAAACCAACACAGAAAACCCGACTTAGCGACCTAGAGCTCCTCCAAGAGCCCGAAAAAGACCTCGAACCGCCATTAAGATGGGAAGACATCGCGAAAGAGGACGGATGGCACGAAGATGCCGAGATATGGGACTCCATCGACTACAGCGATCACTCTGGCGATGAATATGGCGAGGCCAAGTCAGATACATCAAGTATATCTGACGAGACATCTCTCTCAACTCTGGATACATCGGTTGGCAGGAGACCGGAGGCTTTCGAGATTGACTCGTCTGACGGAGCAGCCCTTATGGTTGTTCAGGACAGCCAGTCCTGGAGGACGGAAGGAAAAAAGACCGTGTCTTCAGCCCGGCCGCAAAAGGTCGCCATCACAGAGTTCCAGGCGATGAGAGAGGCCCTCTTCATGTTACAAGGCTTACCAACAACACTGTTCCAGAAAGATGGTCTTGCCGACCCAGCATATCAGATATCCAGTCTTGAATGGGATACACACAGAGCACTTGTGAGCAGCTTCGCGGAAAGTGGACGCCAGGTTGCCCAGATACGGACTTTCTCGAAGAGAGCCCAAACAGCGCCTCTCTTTCAAGTTTTCCGTGACAATGTCATTGCCTGTCTGCAGTCCTTTGACAAGAGGTTATCTAATATTCAGGGCAATCTGGCAGTGGCGCGGGAAGATACAGTCATCAGCATGGCAGCAATACTAGAGGAAC